CTCTCTCCCTCCCCCCTCCTCTCTTTTTTTCTTCTCTTTTCTTTTCATTGTGTGTGTGCGTGTGTGTTTTTGTGAGGTGAGGTGTCCCCCACCTTCTTCTTTCCCCCTTTCTCTCCCGGCTCTATTCTCTCCTCTGTTTTCTTTAAGTGGGACTAGTGAAGTGGTGTAGGGTGGGGTTTTTTTTTACCCCTCCCCTTCAGCGGATGTCTTTTCCGTTTTCTTGTGAATGAAAATAGTTCTCTACGTTGCTCGTCCGTGTTTCTTTTATATTCCTCATCATTCTACCCTTGTTGGGCACTGTTGAGTTAGGTTGGACGGAAGCCTGAAATACTTTACGTGTGCTTATAGTTACAGTATTTGGTCGCCCGTCCCCCAGTCTTCTTTCTGTTCACTCGGTGTTTTAAAACTATGGTATTTACATTTTATGTTTTGTCTCTCTGTCTCTCTGTCTCTGTCTGTCTGTCTCTCTCTCTGTCTCTCTCTCTCTCTCTCCGTCTCTCTATCTCACACACCCACACACACACTCACACGCGCACACACACACACACACGCACGCACGCACGCACGCACGCACACACACACACGCGCGAGCATACACCCACACACACACACACACACACACACACACACACACACACTCGCAGTTTGTGGGCACGCAAGCAGAGGGCATTTTGGTATCACTGTGAAGTATTATATGGTCGCCTTTAAGCACAACGGGGCTATCCCGAAAAATGTTGTTTTGAGAAAAATCGAAGGTAAAGTTTTTGTCCCTTACTCAGTTTCTTTAAAAGACTAGGAGAGTTTTCTCTATTATAATCAAACAAATATACACGACAATGAAACCAAACTTCTCGTATGGGTAGGGCAATGCCCACTTTTTGTTTAGATCAAAATTTCTCGAAACGCCCGAAATCTGGTTTAGCCCATTTGTCCTTAAAAGCGACAATGTCTGCTTTTTATATTACAGACTTCTCCGTGTTATCCATTGTTGATCGACATGTCTTTTTTGTACAAGATTATAATGTCTCTTTTGCTTTTTTGTTAAATGTGTGCTCACTGTGCAGCTGTATTGTTCTTGTTTTGCTTTTCAATTAAGGGGGAAAAAAAGACTTAATCTCATTTAGAGTTTTTGACACTCATATGACCTCATGCAGTTGCAAGTGGCGTAAAACCTCTACTAAAACTAAATCTATCATTTAGAGTTCAAGGTCATTCCCTCTCTGTATGTTCGTTTCACTATTCTGTCTGTGTGTCTTGACTGTTTTCACCCCACCCCCTCCCCATCGCTACCC